AGCATGCCAGTTATGTACAGAAAAGGTGTAAAATCGTGTGTATTATACCAATTTTCTTAAATATAAATATGTTTTCTTCGAGTTTTGAATTTCTTCTTCTTGTTTAACTGAATATCCTTCAAAACAAAAAGTCAGTTGAAGCTAAGGGCCAATCTGTCTGTGTTTACTCTTTTTATGCTATCCAACAAACTATTCTTCTAGATACACAAATTCATTTTTCCTTATTATATACAGTGTTTAGAACATACATACCCTTACACATAAAAAAAACAATAAATTTAGACATACAAATCATTAGTCTTTATTTCTTAGGCCTTACAACTATTTAATTTAAATACGTTTAATCAAAATCCAGAAAATTACTTAAAAAATCACTAAAATCTATTTATTTGAGTTTAAAAATTGCAGATACAACAGAATTAAAGCTGATAAAAAGAGAAACAATGAAATMATTTTATCTTTAGGGCCGGATAAACTGTTAAAGAGGGCCAGATTTGGCCCGTGCACCTTAAGTTTGACCCTTGATATGAAGCCTGAGTGTGTCACAGATTTTAATCTGAAGAATGTTGAGTTTTTATCTGTCGTCAGTGTTTCTGAGGCTCACAGATGGTTTCAAACTTCATGCTTGATTTGATTAGAGACAGTCAGATAATCTTTTTAAAACTTGGATCATTTAAAAACCGAAGTTTATAAAAGTGTTGTTTAACTAAACGTGTGTGCGTGGCACAGAAATCTGCACAGATCAGAAGCGACACATGTTCCTGGAGGTTTCACACGCTCTCTGAAGCGTTGGAAAGCAGAGAGAAGAAAAGACGAGTGCTTGATTTGTTTTGGGTGTTCAGATGTCAGACATGTTGAGGCCAGCAGCTTCTAACGGCACAGCAAACATGAAGAACCAATTTAAAACAAGGGGATGCCATGTTGATAAAAAAAACATAACTGTTGTCTGGATGTCATGAAAACAAAAGAGAGACGGAGAGGAGCGAAGATAAAAAACAGACTCACTTTAACAAGAAGGGATGAAGGGAATTATGAGGGTTTGATGCCAAACCTTTTATTCTGCTAATGTTGACATTTATTTACTTTTTTTCCTGCGTTCAACTACACGTTTAATAACAGTTACATGAAAAAGCAGATATTCCTGAGCACATCCTGAACTAAAGCTGCAGCTTCTAACAGCATTTTATCAACCAAACTCACCGTTATGGGCTGCTGTTTGTAAAGTTACACAGTCACAAATTACCACCAATATTTTTGTTTTATTTAGCCTTTTATAGGAAAAAGAACAGATTTATTTTTCAAAGTCAGTTTTTCACCAAATGATTCATACATTTATAAATATCATAGTTTATAAACTAAATATTTAACTTACAAATTAAATATTTAGTTAACAAGCTAAATATTTAACTTGTGACTTAAATATTTACTTTGAGCTAAATATTTAGCTAGCTACTTACATTTTTAGGTTGCAACTTAAATATTTAGCTAGCCACCTTAATATTTAACTTAAATATTTAGCCAGCTACCAAAATATTTAGGTTGCAACTTTAATATTTAGCTAGCAACTTAAATACATAGCTCGCAAGTTACTATTTAGCTAGCTACCTAAATATTTAACTTAAATATTTAGGTCACAAGTTAAATATTTATCTTGTTAACTAAATGTTTAATTTATAAGTTAAATATTTAGCTTATAAACTATGACATTTATAAATGTATGAATCATTTGCTGAAAAACTGACTTTGAAAAATAAATCTGTTCTTTTTTTCTTATAAAAGTCTAAATAAAACAAAAATATTGGTGGTAATTTTTGACTGTAACTTTACAAACCCCATACACTGTGGAGCATAAATCTGCATGAGTTCCATGATAAATGTTTTGTTTCAAACTTAAATCCGTAAATAATCGTCTGTCAGTTAAATAGTTTTGAAGAGGTAAAAAGTGACACGTGCAGCTCAACATCCTGTAAAAAACACTTATTTTTCTTTTTAAACCTCCCTGAAATTCTTCCATAAAACTCTTTATATTTAATAAAGCTGAGACCAGATGATTTCAGTCAGAACGGACAGTAAACACCATCTGCAGCTGCAGGGAAACAACAAGCTGCTGCTCCTCCATGAGCAKAAGTCTAAATTGTGCGTCGCCAGAGTTGGAGAAGCTAGACGAGTGTGGTCATGTGAAAAATGAATCCGTTTATTTGTGTTACTATAACAAGACTTTTTTTTTAGAAGTGAGGCTGGATGAGCTTCGCTTGGAGCTTTTAGCCACAAACATGTCTTTTTATCTGATTTAAAGGATAGTTTAGCTCGTTTAAAGACAGAAACATGTTAAAAAGCTGCTTTTAAAGGGTTTTCAGCTGAATAAAAGGCAGTATTTTATTTATTTTTCTTGTTGCAGTGGAGCTGATTAAAGAAGAGACATTGTTAGCCTCACAACCTGAACATTTATTAAGTAAACAGTTGAATCACGACGAGCTCACATGGCTGCACGTCAGGAATGCTTCTTGTTCTACATGACTTCCTTTGATATACAATCCATCCTGATGTATGTGGTGAAAACAGATTGCACACATGCCCACAGCTGAAGGTTGTGTGTTCCAGCTCTCTGCAGCTGATTGAATCGTGGCTGAACGTGTTTTTATTCTCACAGCGCAGCAGTGCTCCACACAAAACTGTGACAAATGATTTTAATGAGGAATAAACTTTAACAGAAGATTTCTGCAGATCTGGTTCCAAAGGACCTGAATAAGTCAGTTCAAGTGTTTCAGTTTAAGGACCTGACCTTCAGGACCTGCAGGTCCCTGCAGAGCCGACACACACTTCACTGAACTGCTAACGACACCAGGAGATTCATGAGCAACAAACCATCACAACATCACATAATCCAGCCTTCATCACAAGTCAAGGCTGAGGATTTTACTTTGTTACAGTACTCAACTGATAATTTATCAAGTATTTTTTATGTTTAGTTTTATTTTATTACATTTAAACCATTAAAGTTATGGTTTTACTTCTTTATTTTAAAATGTAACACCTTGTTACACATTTAAATATGAAAGCAGTTGTTTGAAAAATAAAGTGTTGAGTTTACTTTACCAAGTGAAACAAATGGAATAATTTACCCATTTTTATTTTAAATAAAATGTGTAAATTAAGTTTCTTTGACTCAACTTTAGTGGAACCAGGTTGGTTAAGTTTCAACATTTCATCACTTAGAATGTGTATAAATATAAAAGTACTTTTATTTTTACTTTCCTAATAATCGTGAGCAGTTTTATGACTTTTATTTAAATGTTTTTCTTATCTTTTAACCTGGAGGACCCTGCAGAGACCACAAGAGACCTGAAGGAGATGAACCCTGAAGTCCTAAAGGCTCCACTTCTGTTCAGATTTTTATTTTAACTTTGGGTGTTTCAACCAGGAAAGTTCTTTGGTCCACTTGTTTGGTTCAGACCAAAAGTGGACTTTATTATAATTTATTATTATTTTGTTTAATGCTGTTTGCATTCACATTGTGCTTTTTTCTGACAGTCATTGCTCCCATTAGACAGAAGTGATGGGGCAGGACAGAGCACAGATCTGGACAGAAGACACAGGGACGGACATATCAGATGAGCTCTGGCTGTACACGTTGTAGTGTGTAGTATTGTTAGTATTGTTAATACTTGACACTTGTCACAATTCAGACAAACCATAAAAAAGATCAAAGTCTGGTCAAAGATGTAAGGTTGTTCTGGAGACCGCTCAAACCCTGCTCTGTTCATTTCCTCATTAACACAACCACACTCTTTGGTTCTCAAACTGGGGTCCCAAGACCCACAGGGGTCTACGAGAGGTATCTTGGGGGTCCTCAATAAGTTTCCCTAAATTGTTCATTGGGTTTTTATATTTTAAAACTGCATGAAGAACAATGAACTAATAAAAGAAACATAATAAACTATGTTAAATATATATTCTCATGGCATTTAGGGGTTGAAATGACAGTTAATTATCCTTTAAAAAGGTATGGGGTGTGTGGGGGGTCCCTGGGATTTTTTTGCCCTTGTAAGGGGTCCCCAGACCCAAAACATCTGAGCACCTCTGGAGATGAGTTCTGTGTGCATCTGTCCAAATATGGAGGAGGAGCAGCGTCTCCTCGTTGCTGCAGCTCTGTCCACGGCTCATCGTTTGTAGCATCCATGAGGTGTTAGCATTAGCGTTAGCAACACTGAAGAGCTCATTTTTCATGAGTGTACCTGCACACCTGCAGTAAAGGTCCAGAAAAACAGAGAAACAAACTCTGATTTATGTAGTAGCACAACAAGATCTGACCTTTAATCAGGTGTTTTTATTAGTTTTTTGTCTTTATTCCTCTCTTCTATATGTTCATATTACTTATATGGTTGATTATAATGAACACTTTTCCTACACAACAATAGTTACACTTATTTAACTGTTCACTCACTTGCCTGCAGAGATTTAGTTAAATAAGGATCATYGTGCCTGTTGTTGCACAGAGATGTAATAAAGTGGTGCACACTGCTCTGCAGGACCAGTTGTGTTGTTTTTGTGTGTGCTCATGAATCAGCTCATCCATCCACTTTCACAAATGTCTTGAGCAGTTGTGATGGGAGCTGTCTCTGAGGAGACGCAGCTCCGGAGATGCATAAGTACGACTTCATAAAACAAGAAGAGCCTGAAGTGATGAAGGAGGGTAGTGTGTGTGTCAGTGTGTTTCAGTGTGTGTCAGTGTGTGTCAGTGTGTGCACCTGCAGGCTTCTGTTTGCACAAACTGCCTCTCTGATGTCGACACGTCCGTGCAGCTATGTTGTGTGCTTCTCCACATTGTTAAAGGCAGTTAGCAGAGGGGGTGAGGGGGGTCAAGCGTGGGTGTCCTCTGTGTTCTCCAGGAACCTCAGCCTCAGCAGGGATGGCAGGAGTGACCGGTCTGTTGTTGGAGATAAGGTTTTGTTCAAATCACACTCCTGACATGTGAGGAGACAGGACCGTGCTGAGGTAGAGCTTTAATTCCTTCATGTCTGTCCTGCGTGGACACACAAACACAAACCACTGACCTCCACCCTGCCACACACCATCAGAACCAGCAGAGAATAAACGGAGGGCTGGATTTTACAAAACACTGGTTGTTTAGGGTGAGTGATGGTGTGGCTGCAGAGGACGAGCTCAGAAACAACAAATACTAAAACAAGACTCAGCTGAACCTGACTGTGGGCTGCGTTTGTAAAGTTACAGTCAAAAATTACCACCAATATTTTTGTTTTATTTAGACTTTTATAAGAAAAAATGAACATATTTAATTTTTCAAAGTCAGTTTTTCACCATATGATTCATACATTTATAAATGTCATAG